TGGGTTGGAGCCTCACATCGGGCTCTGTGCTAACAGCTTGGAGCCTAGAGCCTGCTTCTGATTCTGTGTCTCTTTCTGTCCCTCCCCCACTTGTGTTCTGTCTCTCTCTCTCAAAAATAAATAAACATTAAAAAAAAAGAAATAAACCAAATGAACAAAGGAAAAAAGAGACAAACAAACCAAAAAACCAGGCTCTTAAATGTACAGAACAAATTAATGGTTACCAGAGGGGAGGTGGGTGGGGGATGGGTGAAATAAAGGGGATTAAGAGTATTCTGATTTGATGAGCCCTGAGTGATGTATGAAATTGTTGAATCATTATATTGTACACCTAAAATGAATATAATACTGTATATTAATTATGCTTCAATTTAAAAAGAGTAGAATATGAAACAAAATGTATAATATCAACACATCACATACTCACTCATAAAGAAATGAGATCCAGAAGTTATATACTAAGATTGTCTTTATATGATAAGATTATGGGTATGTGTTAATTTCTTCTTTTGGCTTACCAGCATTTTATATATTTTCTTCTACCATAAGCAAGCAAGTAAATATATAAGCAGGATTACACAGGACCCCAGGAGGGATATCGTAAAAAAAAAAAAAAAAAAAAAAAAAAAAAAAAAAAAAAGGGAAAAAAGGAAGAAAGGAAGAAAGCAGAAAGAAGGGAATATAGCAACAAAAGAATGCAATGAAAATATGACAGAATAATTAATGTGTCTAAACATATTCAGAGAATTAAAGTTTCTGATTAGGTTTGGGAATGACAAGACATGAGAATCTAAGTTACACAAGGTCAGAAATTTTCGTGTTTTGTGCACTGCTGTATCCCCCAAAGTTTAGGATGTATCTAACACCTGATGGGAAACTATAAATATTTGAGTGAACTAACAAATGAATTATTACAAAGAAAATTAAATAAGGCATTTCTAAGCTTTAGAGAAAACAATTATATAAAAATTAAATATTGTAATCATATAGTACATGACCCTGCTGTGTATAAAATATATACAGTCTGATTGTAAATATATTGTGATATAGCTATACTGAGAGGACAGAAGGAAAAAGCATATGTGTGGGTACGTACATTAGAGGCAGAAGGGGAAAAGGGAGAAGAGTGGAGAGAAGAAATGGAGGGAATGGTGAAAAAAGAGAGAGACAGCAAATAGATGGTTAACTATGAGAGCTAAATCATCATCTTTCATAGCAGACAGTCAATAACCAAGGCCCACATAAGTCGGTTATTCAGAAATAAGGATATAATGCTAGAAGAAACAGTTATAAGAAGAAACATCTAAAACAGTCAAAACTTCTTCTAAGGAGTGAAAGTTGGGAGTACCGCTGCTCCAATGTACAGGCAGTTGCTATTTTGCAGAAGTCTTGTTGAACTGGTTGACTTTTTAAAAAATTTTTAAAATGTTTTTATTTATTTTTGAGACAGAGACAGAGCATGAGCAGGGGAGGGGCAGAGAGAGAGGGAGACACAGAATCTGAAGCAGGCTCCAGGCTCTGAGCTGTCTGCACAGAGCCCGACACGGGGCTCCAACTCAAAGACTGTGAGATCATGACCTAAGCGAAGTCGGACACCCAACCGACTGAGCCACCCAGGCGCCCCCTACTGGTTGACTTTTTAAAGTATGTGTATGCTTGCTATCAAAAACAATAAAAATTAAATAAAAAATAGATTATGGCACGTCACAAAGAGGCCAATACTATGTGATTCCACGTATGTGAGGTAACTAGAGTAATCAAACTTACAGAAACAGCAGAAAGGTGGTTGCCAGGTGCTGGCAGGGAGAGGAAATGTGCAGTAGTTTGATGGGTATAGAGTTTCAGTTTTGCAAGATAAAAAAGTTCTGGAGACTGGTTACATAACAATGTAAATATACTTAAAAATGGTTTAGATGGTAAATTTTATATTATGTGTATTTTATCACAATTAAAAGATGGCAAAATTGTCTGAAATGAGAATTCTTTGGTTCTGCTTCTAATAACAGCTGAAGAGTTCTATAGGTCCCAAACTCCCATAGTTACTCCCGTAGTTACATATTTCTCCCCAATACAAACTTGGGGAGAAAACAAACAAACAGAACTGAAGCACTGAAGAGTCACGGAAAACAAGCAGAAACTGGAAGAAGATCAGCACTTGAATGCAGTGGCACTGGGAGGGTTCTCAATTTCTTTTTTAATGGCTTTCAGCTGAAGGCCGGTCTTAAAGACCCAGAGAATAGAATCTGAGCTGACCAAAGCACTTGAAAAGGGAAAAAACCCTGGAGAGGGCAGAGAGAGAGAGAGAGAAAGAGAGAGAGAGAGCGCCTCAAATTCTGTGTAACAACCCTGCCAGTTTGGGCTGACCACTGAACTACACATGAATGAGGCCGACTCAAGCATCCATCCGAGTTAAAGTTCATAGGGCTCGGCAGTGATTTTCACTGTTACTCGCATGGGAGATAGGGCTTGGAATGTGAATTCAGTCAAGTTAAATGCTTGCTAACACACACAAAAAATTAACATTGTTTAGAGGACTAAAAGTGAATTCTAGAGTCATTCCCAGTACCAGGAAACAATAAAAAACTGCTAAGTGTACAAAGGAAACCATGACCAATACTCAAGATTAAAGCTGACCAATGGAGAGAAGCCCCAAGATAAACCAGGTGTTAGAGAAAAGCATTTTAAAGGAAAAATAATGAATAAAGGAATTGTAATGAATAAAATAGGAAATTTCAGTAGAGAAATAGAAATTTTAACAAAGACACAAATAGAAATTCTAAAACTGAAAAATCCAATATCTAATTTAAAAAAATTATTCTATGGGCTTAACAGCAGATTGGAAATAACAGAAGAGTTGATGAACTTGAGAACAGATCAATAGAAATTATCCACAATGAAGAAAAAGGAAAAAAAAAATTCTAAAAAATTAGCAGAGTCAGGGACTTCAGTAAAGATCTAATATACCTGTAAATGAAATCCAGAAGGAAAGAAGAAAGAGAAAAGGTAAAAAAATTTTTTTTGAACAAATAATGGCCAAAAATTCTTCAAATTTCATGAAAAGAGAATTCTCAAACATAGCTTTGATGGTGAAAACTGATTTAACTTTTATGGAAAGCAACTGGGCCATGTGAATCAAGAATCTTAAAAGTATTAATATGCACTTTGAGTTTGTAGTTCCATTTATAGGAATCCGTACCAAAGACATGGGTAGAGATAAAGTAAGAAATTTATTCTAGCAATGCTCTTCAAGGCATAATTTATAATAGCAAAACCTTCTATTATCCAATAATAGGCTAATAGATGAATATTGAGCAATACTTGTCATACAATAAATATTTGTTGAATGAATATCAAGTTTTCATAAAATAAATTATGACATCAGAAAATATGTTACAGTGAAAAAGCAAAAATTAAAATTCAGCATAAGTATAATCTCTATTACTCAAAATAGAATATATTATTATAAAAGAAAGATAGAGGGAGAGGGCTCAAAAGATCATCTCTGAATGGTAGGATCATGAATGATTTTTATTTTTTACACATTTCTGTATTGTTAAAAATTTTATAGTGAGAATGTATTTATTTATATTATCAGAAAACTGGACCTATATAAAGCTGTAAAAACATACCAAACATATCCTTAATATCTTTGCCTTAATATCTGTATCCTACAAGTTCTTGCTTTCACCCACCCATAACTCAGGTTTACCTTGGTCCAGAGTCATCCCCATTCATATCCAGATTGAGTTCTCGGGGTTTAGTAAACTCTTTAGCAGCAACGAGTTCTCTTGACTTAAATACAGCTTGATTTCTTAACCTGGAAAAAAAAAATTAGAGGCTTTCTAATCCTTGGAACCTAAGCAACTGAATGGTAACCCTTGCAGGACCATATGCTTCCAGCTAGACCTCAAACAATTTTTTTCAAATTAAAACTTGATCTGTCAGAGCGCCAGGGTGGCTCAGTTGGTTGAGAGTCCGACTGTGGCTCAGGTCACGAGTTTGAGCTCTTTGCTGACAGCTCAGAGCCTGGAGCCTGCTTGGGATTCTGTGTCTCCCTCTCTCTCTGCCCCTTCTCAGCTCATGCTCTGTCTCTGTCTCTGTCTCTGTCTCTGTCTCTGTCTCTCTCTCTCAAAAATAAAACAAAACATTTAAAAAACCCAACAACCTCGATCTGTCAAAATAAATGGGCACTTCCTAAATACACACAGGATGTAAATAAAATAAACACAAATCAGTTTTACAGGAACTTCAATTTTCTTTATTTACAGAGGAGTTGGAGAACACTGAGTTGGTCAAAATATCATTTAAAATCTCAACACTATAGATGCTTTTGGAGTACTTTAAGTTTCTTCATTAGAAATTTCAAGTTTCTTTCTATTCACTCCTAAGCAAGTGTATTCTGATTATCAGAGTCTTAATGGGAATTCTAGTAACATTAAGTATCACTGACCATGCCCAATATATCCATAAAAGGCAAATATTTCTCATATTGTCAATTCAAAGAGCTGGGGCTATGTCTCACTGACCAATGTGTTTTCTTAAGATCATAGAAACTGAAAGAAATTCTATCCAGCAATGCTAACTAGCCCCATCCTCGATGTGCTGAGGAGGGAAGGCAGAGAAAGAAATTAGCATGTTCTACCAGAGTCTGGATGGCAATTAACCACTGGCACTTTTTCTACCCATATGTGACCTTTTCTACCCATTTTCCAAGTTTTTTTTAGAAATATTCTCTGGCTCATTTTTAGAAATGAAATCTGTAGAAGTATATTCTTTAACTATGAAATAAAACCAGGAAGAGGGGAAAATATTATTAAAACGGCATTATCATTTCCATCATTGTCAAAGACATTCTTATAACTGCAACTAATTATGCACAGTAATAAACAAAGAAAAATATGTAGGGGGTGCCTGGATGGCTCAGTTGGCCAAGTGTCCAACTCTGGGTTTTAGCTCAGGTTATGATCTCAGTTTGTGAGATTGGGCCCTGCCAGGGGCTCTGAGCTGACAGCATGGAGCCTGCTTGGGATTCTCTCTCTCTCCCTCTCTCTCTGTCCCTCCCTCACTCTCTCTGTCTCAAAAATAAATAATCATTTACCAAAAAAAAAAAAAAAATTAGATTAATTACCCTCTAGGAACTTAGAATTTTATAATAATATTTGGTAGTGACACATACATGGGTAGGTAAATGCAGAGAGCAGGGAAGCTATACTTCTATCAGACAAAATAGACAAATCAAAAATTGTAAAAAGACACAAAGAAAATCACTATATAATAATAAAAAGGTTGATTCATCAAGAGAATGTTACCAATTGTACATATATGTGTATCTAACACAGCAACACCTACATTTATTAAGCAAATACTAACATATCTGAAGGGAGAAACAGATAATTCAATAACAGCTTCAATACCCTACTTTCAACAATGGATAGATCATCCAGATGTTAAAGAAACACTGGACTTGAACTATGCTTTATATAAAATAGACCTAATAGACATATACAGAACATACCATCAAATAGCAGCAGAACACATATTCTTTTCAGGTATAAACAGAACATTTTCCAGGACAGATCATGTTAGGTCACAAAACAATTCTTAGCAAATTGAATAAGACTGAAATCATACCTTTTCCAAACATAGTGTTATAAAACTAGAAGTCAGTAACAGGAGGAAATGGGAAAATTCACAATAAGTGTAAATTAAACAACACACTCCTGAACAACCAGTGAGTCAAAGAAGAAATCAACAGGGACACTAAAAAATATCTTGAAACAAATTAAAATTGAAACATACCAAAATTTATGAAATGCAGCAAAAACAGTTCTAAGAGGTAAGTTTATAGTTTTAAATGTCTATATTAAGGAAAAAGAAAGATCTCAGGGTGCCTGGGTGACTCAGTGGGTTAAGCATCTGACTTTGGCTCAGGTCATGATCTCGTGGTTCGTGAATTTGAGCCCTGCATCAGGCTCTGTGCTGACAGTCAGAGCCGGGAGTCGGCTTGGGATTCTGTGTCTCCCTCTCTCTCTGCCCCTCCCCCACTCACAGTCTATCTATACATATCAAAAATAAATAAACATTAAAAAAATGTTTTAAAAAGAAAAAATTAAGATCTCTAATAAACAACCTATAATTACACCTCAAGGAACTATAAAAAGAAAAACAAACCAGGGCCAAAGTTAGCTGAAGGGAGGAAATAACAATGGCCAGAGCAAAAATAAGAGACTAGAAAAATAATAGAAAGGATTACTGAAACGAAAAGCTGGTTTTTTGAAAGGATAAACAAAATTAACAAACTTTTGTTTGTTAGAAGAAAGAGAGGACTCCCAAAAAAAAGCAGAAATGAAAGAGAAGCCATTATAACTGATACCACAGAAACACAAAGGATCGTAAGAGGCTACTATAAACAGTTACATGCCAAAATATTGGATAATCCAGAAGAAATGATAAATTCCTAGAAATATACAACCTTCCAAAACGGAATCATGAAGAAACAGAAAATCTTAACAGACCCAAAATGACTAAGGATTAGATTAAATCAGTGAGTAAAAATCTTATGACAAAGAAAAATCCAGGACTGGATAGTTTCACTGGTGAATTCTACCAAACATTTTAAGACGAATTAATACAAGTCTTTCTAAAACTCTTCCAAAAGATTGAATAGGCAGGAACACACCCAAATTCATTGTATAAGGCAGCATTATACTGATACCAAAGCCAGGTAAGGACACCACAAGAAAAAAAAATAGGTCAATAATTCCAATTAATATAGATGAAAAGAAATCTCAACAAAATACTGTCAAAGGGAATTTACTACATTAATAGAATAAAAAACAAAAATCATATGATGATTTCAATAAAATGCAGAAAAAGCATTTGGCACAATCCAACATCCTTTCATGATAATAGCTCTCAAGAAATTGAGTATAGAAAGAACATAACATAATCAAGGGCCATATATCACAAGCCCACTACTAACACCATATTCAAAGGTGAAAGGTTGAAAACTTTTCCTTTAAGATTAGGGACAAGACAAGGATGTCCACTCTTGTCACTCTTCTACATAATACTGAAAGAACCAGCCTGAGCAATTAGGCAAGAAAAGCAAATAAAAGATATCCCAATCAGAAAGAAAAGTAAAATTTTCTCTGTTTGCAGATGGCATAACCTTATGTATAAAAAACAATAAGATGCCATCAAACAACTGTTAGAACTAAAGAAGAAATTCACTAAAATTGCAGGGTACAAAAATCAACATACAAAAATCGGATGCATTTCTATACACTAACAATGAACTACTTAAAAAATAAATTAATAAATCAATCCCATTTACAGTTGCATCAAAAACAATACACTTAGAATAAAGTTAACCAAAGAGGTAAAAGATGTGTACACTAAAGCTATAAGACACTGAGGAAATTGAGGAAACCACAAATAATGGAAAAATATCTTGTGTTCATGGATTAGAAGAATCAGTATTGTTAAAATGTCCATACTACCAACAGTAATCTACAAGTTGAATGCAATCCTTATCAATATTCCATTGGAATTTTTCACAGAATTAGAAAAAACAATTCTAAGATTTATATGGAACCAAAAAGACCCCAAATAGCCAAAGTAATCCTGAGAAAGAACAAAGCTGGAGGCTCCACACTTCCTAGTTTCAAACAATACAAAGCTATAGCAATCAAAACAGTGAAGGTATACAAACAGATATAAAGACAAACAGAACAGAATAGAAAGCCCAGAAATAGACTTGAGCATATACGGTTTGTTACTCTTTGTTCAGCATACCAAGAATACACAATGCGGAAGGGATAGTCTCTTTCAATAAATGGTGTTGGGAAAATTGGATATCCACATGCAAAAGAATAAAAAATTAACTTGAACTGGATTAAAGACTTAAATATAAGACCTAAAACTGTAAAACTACAAGAAGAAAACGTAGAAAAAAACTCCTTGACATTAGTCTTGGAAATTAT